CCCCAAAACCCCAAAACCCCAAAACCCCATTCCTCTGCAAACAGATTGAAAAATAAAATTTAAATTTAAGTTTTTATAATAATAAAATGGAAAGTACTAATAAAGCTATTGAAGAAGAGAACACCCAGATAATCCGGTAACTGAGAGCTTAGTTTTAGAATACTTTAAATTTTCACTCTCAAATTTGTAACAAGTCCCAAAACTTTAAAGTTTAACCAAAAATTTCAACTTTTATAATAATCTCACCGAAAATTTCTTGACCGAGAAGTTATTAGCAAAACTAGAGAGAGTTTATAAGCCTTCCCTCTCTTAGATTTATTTGGGACCTCCACAGATAACATTTCTCCTAAAGACTTAAACCTGGGAGTTCTCAAAATCTAAATTAGCACCCTTTCATCTCCAACTTTGTGACTGATTCTGATACTGACCTACCTCCCGCCCTCCGCTAATTGTGCAGCCTAGAGAAGTCTGTCCTGGCAGAAGCCAAGGAGCAAGAGGTCACCACATGTCAGAGCATCCTCTATAAGGTTCTTCCAGGTGAAGAAGTTGATCCATCGGATCCATCGGATCCAGACTCCGAAGAATTTTCAGGAAACAGTCAACTTTACATTGTGACGACCGACATCAGAGATAAAAAACTGTTGAAAAGTTTGAAGTGTCTGAAGGTTTTTGATATAGATTGGCTTCGTTTGAATAGGATTGATTCTAAAAATAGGCGTTTTGTTTTAAATTTCTTACAATCCTCATTCCCAAATATAATTAAGGATCTCGATTTTTGGTCCGGTGGCCAAATGGATCTGAAAAGATGAAACTACTTAAACTCCCTGACCACACTCACCTCCAAAGTCGTTCATGAAGTTTCCTTTAGTGATTTCAGCATCGGCCTGCCTCAACTCAAGAGGCTTGTGGCAGCTTTCAGGCATGTGAGAGCTTTGAGATTGACATATTGCAGGCTATCTATCCCAAGTGTTCCTGATTTGTCAAAGGCACTGAAGATTTGACGAATCCAGGAAATAAATTTAGAAGGATCAGGAGACTCGGATAGAAGTGATTGGGAGAACAACTTCGACGAGTTTGAGAACTTGGTACAAGGGTTAGCAAGCTCTCCAGATTTAAGATTGAGTCTTGAAGAAGTAGATGTCTCTTTGTGCGGAGTAACCCAAAATAAAGTTGAACAAGTCTTTGAAGAAAACCAGCTTGGAGAAGTTAACATAATTGTTGGTTTTTAAATTTTGACTAAATTTCTTATTTTGATTTCTTTGGCTTAAAATCCTGTTTTCTCCATATTTGACACTTGGTTACTTTTTAATATATTCCGGGGTTTGATCAAGCTGGGGTTTTGGGGTTTTGGGGTTTTGGGG